ACAAAGGTGTTTTGATTATATTTCTAAGACTTAGTACACAAAGGTGTTTTGGTTATATTTCTAAGACTTAGTACACAAAGGTGTTTTTGGTTATATTTCTAAGACTTAGTACACAAAGGTGTTTTTGATTATATTTCTAAGACTTAGTACACAAAAGTGTTTTTGATTATATTTCTAAGACTTAGTACACAAAGGTGTTTTTGGTTATATTTCTAAGACTTAGTACACAAAGGTGTTATTGATTATATTTCTAAGACTTAGTACACAAAGGTGTTTTTGGTTATATTTCTAAGACTTAGTACACAAAGGTGTTTATGATTATATTTCTAAGACTTAGTACACAAAGGTGTTTGTATATCACATATTTACATGTAAAGCTATGTGCATGTTCTCTGTAAACTAGTTAGTTCTTTTCGTTTCGTTAGACGTTCGAACTGAGGATGTAATATCTGTCAAGGACAGCCAGAAAATAAAACTCTCCTTGAAGTCCTGGCGTTGCAGGAATGATGTTATATCTCCCGTGGTTCCAGTTTTCCTTAAAAGATACCGTTGTAGAAACGAGTGTTTCTGATTAAATGGATAACACAGAGCAAGAGAAACTCAATTCCTATCAAATGAACGAATCACTGAAGCCATTAGGAATTTAGAAAAGATTTAGTGTAAGGTAAACCAGTAAAGCTGCTATTGAAATAAACAATAAATGAAAAACTGCTTAATTATTTAAAGCCATTTCACTCTTCCTTGCTAAATTTAAATATGTGAAGTTTTCTAAAAGTTGACCATCTGATGGCATAAAAACTACCCTAACGGCACACCCGCCAAGGTAATACAGATGATGTACAAAGATAACCGAGTGGACTAGTTATAGGCAAGAAAACTGTACAGCACATATCCTTACAATTGCTAATGTACAAAGTAGTTTCTTCTAACGACTCGTTAAATGTCAGATACAAATCTAATCACTATTCAAAGATGCTAAAGAACAGTACGGTGAAAACGTTCCATTCCTCAGCTATTAATTATCTAAGGTTTGAAGTTCTCCAAGAATATTGAATTCAGTTGAACAAGTATCAGTGTGTTATGATAAACCAATCACATGTTATCATTCTCTAAATGAGGTTCGACACTCTTCGTTCTAAGTTCTTTTTCATGATAACAAAATGATAAACATATACTTTTGTAAGTTGTTTCCATTTCCAGCACAATGTGGCCCGTGACGAGAGCGTTATGTTAAGTGATTAATTAAAATAAAGACGACACCTGGAGATGTTAAGCTAATCGATTTATACAAACAGGTATGGAATAATATCATAAATAGATAGTAAGTTTTAGAAAAATTAGGGTTCAAACTACACGAAAGAAATAAGCAAAGAATAAAAATTATTTTTCTGACTGAGATGAAACCAATGATCGGAGATCACCGATTCCAGGATGTAGATTAATTCTACAAGGTAACAAATTCTACAATTCTCTTAGTCTATCTTGTAACTGTAGGAATGATTGATTACGTTAAGCTGTGTAAGAATTGTTCGTGTTTTTCTTAGTCTATCTTGTAACTGCAGGAATGATTGATTACGTTAAGCTGTGTAAGAATTGTTCGTGTTTTTCTTAGTCTATCTTGTAACTGCAGGAATGATTGATTACGTTAAGCTGTGTAAGAATTGTTCGTGTTTTTCTTAGTCTATCTTGTAACTGTAGGAATGATTGATTACGTTAAGCTGTGTAAGAATTGTTCGTGTTTTTCTTAGTTATCTTGTAACTGCAGGAATGATTGATTACGTTAAGCTGTGTAAGAATTTCTCGTGTTTTTCTTAGTTATCTTGTAACTGTAAGAATGATTGATTACGTTAAGCTGTGTAAGAATTGTTCGTGTTTTTCTGTGCGTCTACTCATGTGGTAGTTTACCATTATTTTCAGGATTTCACAAAATATATATAATCAAAAGTTTTATCTAACTGAACATCATCCTTTAACACTGTAGCTCTCTCACGTATTGAGTACAACTAACGAATAACTTTACGTTCAACAAAATCAATTTAATGTCTGTTGTGGGTTCAATGTTTACATCAACATTTGACATGGGGTTGGTACCCGGCAGTTTAACCAGGATCAATGAAGTATATACAAAATCACAAAATATCACTACGTTATATATCAAATTATATAATATGTACACATTGTAGCAATTCTATACACAAGGCCTAACACACAGACTAATAAAGCAACAGCTGTGTTCAAGTGTAAACAGCGTTTCTGTGATTAGCCTGATGATTGGAAATAAACAAAAACTTTGAGGTTGAAATTCTTTGGAAAAGTTTTGAGTACATATTTTTTTTTCTCACGGAACAGATAAAAAGTCACATTTTACCTTATTTTCTTAGACATGAATACAATAACTAAGAATATTTGAATTAGCATACACTAGGTTCTTTCCAAACCTTGTTTACTAGAGGGCACGTACAATATTTACACAGTTCCCATGCAAAATTTACTAATTCAGTTTGGAGTCATGATACGAACTCAGAATTCCAAACGTTGTAATATTTTTATCTTTCAGTATGAATTCACCAATTTTTGTTTTTCTATAAAAGAAGCAAAGAAAACAAAGTGGTCTTAAAAATTTGTTTCTGGATTTAGTTAGGTGGCAGCACTGTATTTACATTAATACAGGTTAACCTAAAACAAAAAAAAACTGTGCAAGTGGTAATGGTGTTCACAAAAGCATCACTGGAGAAAAAGCATTTTCTGTAAAATTTACATTGATAAAACCATTTAAAATCCAGAAAAAATATCATGATAAACGAAAAGCTGGTGTAAGTCGATATAGTTTCTGACATTAAAAGCAGATAACTAGAGTTCAGTCGTGTTTCCTTCGTTTATTTTCATTGCTGCCTTCATAACTTTGGTAATGCTTTCTCTTATCTTTGAGTCTCCAATTTCTGTCTCCTCCTCGACTGTGCTGGTACTCCTGTCTCCGTGCCTGCTCTTGCTCGTTCCATTCGTTATTGCTGCCCCATGGTCTTGGCCTCCAATTTGGTGGCCATTCAGCAGGGTTATGGTGTCTTGGAACATTTCCAAATGATGCCTGATTTGCTGTGGAATTGGCAAGGTAATGCTCACCAACACCACCATAAGGGTGTTGATAACCACTCATTTGTGGTTGTTGAGGAGGAGGACAAAACTGTGGCCCCATGGGTTGGTGATACATGTTAGGGCTTGGAAAAGGATTACCAAAGTGTGGGGGCCTGGGGTAGTTTAAACCAGAGGGATCACCTGGTGGAAGAGGAGGTTGTACAGTTGCATTACAAGGTGGGGCCGGTGGAAGTCGTGGACCCAACGTCGTTCCCATGGGTCCTGGTAAACAAGGAACCAATGGAAAGGTTGGGGATGTGAGGGAATTATCCAGATCTTCTGGGTCAACACCTGGTGGTAATGGTTCTACTAGTGGTGTTTTTCTTGGTGGTAATGGTAAGGAGCTTCTCTCAGCTCCACCATTTGGATCATTGAAGAATGATGGAGTTTGGTTGTATGGTAACGAGCTATTATTTGCTGGGATTACTGGAGAAACATGCTGCTGAGGGAGTCTCACAGGTTCCCCAACAGGAGGAATCATGTGAGGTGAGTCACGAGCTACATTATTACCAGTAGTCTGGACTCTAGTTCTATGATCTTGCACTTTTGTAGGCAATATGTTTGACACACTTTGATGTATTTTGTTCTCATCTGAGTGAAACGGAGTCTCTTGTCTGGATTCTTCAACTGAAACCTGTGATGTCTTCTCTCGACTGGAACTTTCAGACACGGATGACGTCTTTCCTGCGTCCTGTCCAACATTTTGTGATGTAAGAATACCACTAGTAAACTGCTGGGTAACCTTGTTGATAGCTTTTATGATGGTTCGTAAATGGGGAGGTAAGCCAGATGATAATTTCGTGAAAACATCATCAATACCTTCTGTGGTCTCTTTCTTTGAATGCTGTTCAGAACCAATATTACTTTTTACAGTTTGCTGTGAGTTACACACACTATTTGTCACTAATGATGGTGCAGCAGAAATTTGGTGACAAGTGACATTTTGAAACGAAGGATTTACAGACCCTTGTATAGTTCCCAAGGTATGTCCTGTACCTTGAAAACTTTGCTGTTCAACTTGATTTTTCTCTGTTTCTAGCTTTTCTTTATGATGACTGGTCACTGGGGAATGCTCAAGTTCTGTTTGAACAGAGTTGGGAAACTGAGGGGCCGAAGATGAATGAGTCAATGATGTCTGATTTTTCCATGTTTCAGGCTTGTCTCTATCACAACTGGCTATTGGCTGCACCACTCCAAAATTATTCTCTCTAGATCGGCCGATAGCAAAATCTTCAAAGTCATCCTCTCGAGAAAGCTTTTCTACTGGAGGCGTGTGCGGAGGGTCACTGCTATCTGACCTTGAACGCTTTTTGATGGAAGATGTGTGAAAAGTGTTCAAGTGGTCATCGATAAATTTTGGAGTTTTTTCATTTGGAAAGCTTTCTAAGGGTGGAGTGTAGGATGGTTCATATGGGTCCACATTCTCCATATGGAGATGGCTGAAACAAAAACATTACGTGTATATATCCAGAAGGTAAAATCTGTTCAACACAGAACTCCCACTAAAACCAAATGCCCCTATAACCCCTGAATACAATAAAGGTAGTTTACTATTTATCCAAGAAAGCTACATTTTATTAAAGTCAGTTTAACCATAGTGCTTGAAGCTTAAAATTTAAAAAAAAAGAAAAAAAAAGTTACACACTGCTCTGTACTAGAATCGTTACATGAAAAACTTACACACTGATGTGTACTAGAACCATTACATGAAAAACTTACACACTGTGTACTAGAATCGTTACATGAAAAGCTTACACACTGATGTGTACTAGAATCATTACATGAAAAGCTTACACATTGATCTGTACTAGAATCGTTACATGAAAAAGTTACACACTGATCTGTACTAGAATCGTTACATGAAAAAGTTACACACTGATCTGTTCTAGAACCATTACATGAAAGTTACACACTGCTCTGTACTAGAATTGTTACATGAATAACTTACACACTGATCTATACTAGAATCGTTACATGAAAAAGTTACACACTGCTCTGTACTAGAATCATTACATGAAAAAGTTACACACTGATCTGTACTAGAACCATCACATGAAATAGTTACACACTGATCTGTACTAGAACCATCACATGAAATAGTTACACACTGATCTGTACTAGAATCGTTACATGAAAAAGTTACACACTGCTCTGTACTAGAATCGTTACATGAAAAACTTACACACTGATCTATACTAGAATCGTTACATGAAAAAGTTACACACTGATCTATACTAGAATTGTTACATGAAAAGCTTACACACAGATCTGTACTAGAATCATTACATGAAAAGCTTACACACAGATCTGTACTATAACCATTACACGAAAAAACATAAAAGATACTGAAAGCACACAGTATCCCTGCTATCATATCTACAAGAGCTAATTCATGACAAGCCATACCTTTCTGAAACTTGTCTCAGTGGTCGATTTTTATGTCTAACTATCACACCCAGAAGAATGTGGGCTCTTGAAGGACTCAAGCCTGTAAAATTGTTTATATTAGATAAAACATTATCTTTCAATAATTTTTATAAGGATATTCATTCATCACAATTATAAGTTTCCCATGTGAAACACTTAATCCAGGACTTTAAGTGAAACTCTACCACAGTGTAACACCGACTTAATCCAGGTCTTTAAGTTAAACTCTACCACAGCATGACACTGACTTAATCCAGGACTTTACGTTAAACTCTACCACAGTGTGACACTGACTTAACCCAGGACTTTATGTTAAACTCTATTACAGCATGACACCAATTTAATCCAGGACTTTACGTTAAACTCTACCACAGTGTGACACCAACTTAATCCAGGACTTTACGTTAAACTCTATTACAGCATGACACCAACTTAATCCAGGACTTTATGTTAAACTCTACCACAGTGTGACACCAACTTAATCCAGGACTTTAAGTTAAACTCTATTACAGCATGACACCAACTTAATCCAGGACTTTAAGTTAAACTCTACCACATTTTTGCAGTGTTGAATTGTTTAACGTATAAAATATCTAAAGACAAACAAATAGAATAGCTACAAAATGTAATAATATTATCTGTTTTTATATGATAACAAAGGTACAAGAAGAGACAGAAGTTACTTACCAGGACCATCAAATGGCATTAATACAGTTGGTACGGGACTATATGAAGGTAGAGGTAGGATATAAAAATCTTTTATCATTTTGGATGCATTCCCAACAACTCCAAAACGCTTACGAGAGTTCAGGTACGAGTAAAAAGCTCCATAAGGCACTTTCTCTTCATCATTTGCAGGTTGAAATCGAATTACAATTAATTCCTAAAAAGTACAGAATAAACCATAACAATTCCAAGTAGGCTATAATTCCAAATGAAACTGTTAAAGCCAGTGTCAGACATGTTTTACAAATATTTGCAAACATAAAAAAGTTTTTTCTTCTTTCATACCCATTTACCATTACCTTAATCATAGCTACATACTGAACATTACATTAAACAACATTTACACAGAGAAATGTTACAGAAAACATGAAATTCTCGGTTAACAGTTTCAAAATTAGACCTAGCTATCACAAATAAGTATTTGTAACACTCGACAAAAAACATCTTCGATGGTTCAACAGGTTTTTCATTCTTCTGTAGGAGGACGTCTGAAACCAACAGTTCAATTTTTCATTGTTTACTTTCATCACGTAGATGAAGCAGTATTAAACTTTAATCAATGAATTTAACATAAACTTATTTTTTCTCTCTAAATAATGCGAGGCTTACAAAAGCCTAAATATATATGTTTATATGAAGAAGATACACAAACAGTTTAGACAACATTATTTTGAAAAAAATAAAATGAATCCTGCTGGTCTCACTTTTACATCATTCGTATCCTAATTTTGATTGTTAAAAAAAACAGTCATATTTGTGTACATTTTATTGTACAGTGAAAACCAGTGGACTAGAGAAACTTAAAGCTCAATCCCCAGTTCTCTACAGTGTGCAAACAAAAACTACAACTAAATATTATAGAAAATGCAACATTAACTAATAATGTAAAATGTTTCTTAAATACACAAAAGTATAATACCTTATTTCCTGATTGTTTAGTCCTGCCAAGATATTCCCAGATCTGTTCCTGAGTGACACGACCACAAACCTGTACTGTATCTGGAATATCCTGAAAATCACAATAAAAACAGTAATAACCTGTACTGTATCTGGAATATTCTGGTAATTAGAAAATATAAAAAATTTAGAAAAGTTATTTTACTGATATGTAATTTAAATAAATTACAGTTTTTTTTAAATGTGCTTTAACATCAGAATAGACGGGGCAGCTTTTCTTGTAGAAACTTCTCCGAAGTGGGTACACTCATGTAAGAACTTAGAGATCGGGGAACACGTTTGATGGTAAAACCCTACCTTCGTTCAGTGTGTTGGTACAATAATTAGAGACCATATTTAATGTTATTATTAAAGCAGATGAGAGTTTAAGCGGGGAAAAAATAATGGTTATGTAAACTAAGGGTTTATGAAAAACAAAACTGAACAGTTAGTTAAATAAACAGTTGTTATAGCATAATATTAAAAAGTTTAAGAGTTTAGCTACCTGTGTAAGAAAATCTGTAGGGCCAGATACTTTGTAGGCAGAAGTAACAAATTTGGCTACATCCTGCATGTAGATGAATCCTTTCCATACAGAAGTCTGGGTTCTACTTGGTTTTATCTGGCTACTGCTTGACAAAGTGGTACTTCCCGAGTCTGGAGATCTGAAAGTTTAAACAAGACTAATAAATGAGAACAAGATGCTACAAACCAACATTGAACACCTTCAGCTGGACAAGTAGAGGACTACAGAAATGTTCATTATCACTAATAAAATAAAAATCTTACTATTATCACACTCTTTAAATATAAAACTACTTCTAAATTAAAAGAAGTCTTATTTCAGAGAAAGATTAGGGAAAAAATTATAAATGGATAAAAAGAAAGAAAGAAGAAAAGACAAATTACTAAACCACAGCTTAGGTCAATATTTTCTTCCCTACCTGCTCATATTTGTATCGTACAGAATTTCTGACAAGCCCCCTTATGGGTAACTTACATTAAACATACAGTAGTGACACTGACTGTTTCTCTTAGTAGATCTTTGAAAATAAATAAAAGGAGCAGTGATTGTTGAGATCTTCTATACTTTTTTATGTTGTTGTTTGTAGTTTTGTTAATGCAGAACTTACACCTATATTTCTACACTTAAAAATACATTCACACTTCCCCCTGTCATCACTTATTGACAGGAGAGAAGACTACATTAATGACTTACCCATATGAAACTGTTGAACTAGGTTCTTGGTCAGACTTTTCCTCCAGTACGTCTTTAAAAATACATCCATACTTCCCCTTGTCATCACTTATTGACAAGAAAGAAGACTACGTTAATGACTTACCAAAATGAAACTGTTGAACTAGGTTCTTGATCAGACTTTTCCTCCAGTACATCTTTAAAAATACATTCATACTTCCCCCTGTCATCACTTATTGACAGGAGAGAAGACTACATTAATGACTTACCCAAATGAAACTGTTGAACTGGGTTCTTGATCACACTTTTCCTCCAGTACATCTTTAAAAATACATTCATACTTCCCCCTGTCATCTCTTATTGACAGGAGAGAAGACTACATTAATGACTTACTTCCTCCAGTGCAGCTTTAAAAATACATTCATACTTCCCCCTGTCATCACTTATTGACAGGAGAGAAGACTACATTAATGACTTACTTCCTCCAGTGCAGCT